TCAATGCAAGATTAACAAAAGATGAATGACATAATTTTTAAGGACAAAATGAAGGTGAAGAGTCAAAATGGGATAAACAATACTCCCCTGATCAACACGACGGCTGGGATGGAAAGCTGGGCCCGGCATCATCATCGCCAGGAGGAGAGGGAAGGCGAGACAAGATCTCCCTCAACATTGCAGACTACTAGGTCTGCTTCATCTGCATGGCCTGAACCCTTGTCTCCAAATCCCCTAGACGGTCCCAAGACTCGTTCACCCACCACTGTATATCGTCCATCCAGCTAACGTCCAAACGCCCATCAAAGGTACTCATCTGTCGGCGTGCTACGATGGATTCACTGCTGGCAATTGATGCGAAGTTTCGTGCAGATGCCATATCTGTCTACACCTGCTGAATTGTGGTAGTCAGTGCCCCAAAGGATTGTTGAAGCTGCTGCATGTCTCGGTCGTGTCCAGTTCATAGTAGCAAACATCTGTCGTAATAACTGGGTGTCCACGTCAACTGGTGGTGGTGGAGCCAATAGCATTGCAAAGTCCGCAGCTGCTTGTCCCTCTGCAACCTGTTGCTGTCGCCGGCGCTCGTTTTAATTTCTGCTGATGTTTAATCCTGGCGCGATCCTGGGCCTCGAGTGTAAGGCGTTTGATAAAAGGACTTGGTTTCTCCGATGCCTCCCCTGGCTGAACTTGTATGACAGCTGCTCTACAAATTCCACTTATCAGGCTCGAGAATATCAGTGATGTGTGTCTGTCACCCCATGCGCCTATAACGTGTATCTGATTGTAAATATAGGTAGCCAAGTCAATTTTGTTCCCCCGAACTAAGTGGTAAATAAAACCTGCCTTTTGATCGGTAAACGTCGTTCGATGGGAGATTGGCTCAATGTTGTGGCCGATGAATAACCAAAGGATGGCGATAGACGGAGTGAGGTCTATTGGATACCAATCAGCAGTAGAGAGCGGCCAAGCATTTTCCCGGCCCAATAGAACTTCAGCCACTTCAACCCAGTTGAAATCATGCGGGACTGGGACTACATTTGTCCAAGTGAGATGATAGTAGACATGTACTACCTCAGGTGAAAACATGATCCATTTGTCCCGAACCCAAGTCTGATGCAGATGGTCGGATCTCGGTGTGTCTATTTCAGCATTGAAATTTGCGTAGAATTCCCGCACCAAGTTTTTATAGACGGGGTGTGGTCTTTCAATCACCTTCTCCCACCCCCAGTTGTGGACTAGATAAACCAGTTCAAAACTCGAAAAATCATCCAATTTAACTGGTCTTTCGGGGATAAGCGCCCATTCCCAGATAACATTGGCATAGCGGGCTGCTTGGTCGGAAGAAAAAAAATGCCGGACTCCCCCTTCGGGTTCCCTAGTTCGGGCTGTACCAGAGATGGAACCAACTTTCTCCTTTCCCTTTGATGTACGCTTTGGGGGCATCCTGCAAAGTTAAAGATACAGTAATTAGTAAACTGCAGTAATAAAAATGATAGGGGGAATGAGGTAAGCAAGACAAATAGTGTACAAACCCCCCAAACTTGCTTCAACAAGCATATAGAATACCATGATGTGCACGTAACAAAATATGACAAAGAGGGATGTATAAAGAGAATGCTGAGGTGAAAATTTGGAAAATTAGGCCAAAACAAACACATGTAAAAAATCATATCCATGACTGAATGTGCATGTTCGGCCTCGGATATCATCAAGAAAACTCGAAGTTCCCCGGGCAAGCTCCGGGCATATGAGAGTATTCAATGAGATCTACCATCTATTCAAATTTTAAAGCAAATGGACTTCGTTTGTCATGCCAATGGTGGAAAGTATGGGACGTAAGGTGTCGTGACATGCCATGTGCTTATGCGTTGCAAGGTGGAAGTGATGTGATGCATGGTCGTTCAAGTGGTTGTGAAAGTGATAACATGCAAATGTCAAGAAAAACATGCTCAAGGACGTCCAAGGAAAGCAAAACGATAAGTTACACACAATAATAGGTTCAAACAACCAAAATGCATCAAGTAACCCGATGATTAAGTGTGCATGTTCGCCCCTTGGACATCATCAAGAAAACTTGAAGTTTTCCCGAGCAACCTCCCAGCATATGAAAGTATGTAGTGCGGAGTAACACATATTCAAATTTCAAGCTCATTGGACGTCGTACGGGTACCTAACGCAAGGGACGAAGTGGGTGCGATGAGGTGACGTGAACCTAACACGTGTGCCTTAATGTGTGAGTGGTTGGTGCACGAGCGTTTCGAGCTCAATTTTGATGGTAATTTTACCCTCGAGAGATGGAAAATAAGTTAGACATTATGTTAATTGTCGTAAAGTTCGATAGGGGATAGAAATATACCGCTATGCTTTACGTGATCTTTAAGTATTCATAAATTTTTATTGCATTTTTATATGTTCGCATCCGTCATAGAAATATAGTCGGATCGCAAGTGAAAATAGGTTTAATTCTATTCGAGAGAGATTGTTAAACAAATTAGGAATCTTGGTCTTCATAATTGAATCGTGTTGTCAATTTTATAAAATTTGGATTAAAGGCGATTCGGGATCCTAGTACGCATTTCGTTATCACATTTTTATAAAACTTGCATTTAATTATAATCACGCATTTAATGTAGTTAATTTAGGCTTTATATTTATAAGTAGGTTATTAAATCATAATTTAGTTAGCGAAAATATTAAGAATTTCTATTGTTTCGATTAAGGCGACGATAGGTAAAATTGAACTAATCAATCTCTGTGGGACGATATTCGAACTCATTTAATCCACTTTATTACTTGTTAATGAACCATACACTTGCGGTAGTTTTAAATCGAAAGAAATAATTTCGTGAACAAGTTTTTGGCGCCGTTGTCGGGAATTGAGTTTAGTTTAATTTTATTTCTCGAGGCACTAATTCGAGCTTCAATTTTTATTTTGCTAGTATAATTTTGTTTTTATTTTTATTTTAGGTTATTATCCTTTATTTGAGTTTTAGTTATTTAAATTGTTTGAATCTTAGTGCTTGTACTGGTTTTGTTTCTCAAATTTTCATGCCACGATTGACTGGAGGAGAATTGATTCCAGCTGATCCTGAAATCGAGCGCACCTTTCATCGACTACAAAGAGATCACCGAGAAGCACAAGTACAAATGGCTAACGAACCAAACAATCCCATTATTCAAGTTAATGAAGGAGAGGCAATGGACGAAGGAAATGAGATTCTGGGAGATTTCTTGACTCCTCAAGTAGTCCAAAGTCAATCTAACATTGTGTATCCTCCATTTAGGGAACCAAACTTCCAGTTGAAAACAAATGCGATTCAACTATTTCAGAATGGGCATCAATACCACGGGATGGCTAGTGAAAACCCACATACACACATTTCTCGATCTCTGGATATATGCCAACACTTTAGGTACCAGGGTATCTCGGACGATGCTATAAGACTGCGGTTGTTTCCACACACCTTGCGAGATAAGGCACTTGAATGGCTGGATTCACTTCCTGTCGCAAGTATTACCACTTGGAATGAGCTAACTCACAAATTCTGCACCCAGTTCTTGTCGCCAGCTAAGGTAGCCAAAATACGGCATGATATCTCTATATTCAACCAATGTGAGTTCGAATCATTTGAAGAGGCATGGAATCATTTCAAAAATATGTTAAGGAAGTGTCCTCAACATGGCTTTGACAAGAAGACACAGATCCGATTTTTCTACACTGGACTACTTCCATCCTTCAAGAGCATGGTGGATTCATCATCTGACGGGTCTATCTCCACAAGAACAATTGACGGAGCATGGGAGCTATTTGAGAGAATGGCTACAATTTCAGTCATGTGGTCTACAGATCGAGTGGTTCGGAAGATAACGTCGGGGGTTTATGAAGTAAATACTTATTCAGCACTGCCTGCAAAGATAGACTCTTTGTTCCATTAGGTTGAAAGCATTTCACAGACCGCCACTGCTAAACAAGTCAAGAAGCCAAGCTGTAAAGAATGTGGAGCAGACCACAACACTGTTAATTGTCCAATTCTCGCACAGGAAGTCGAACATGCAGATTTTGTGCAATGGGGTCAACGCCAAGAGAACAACTCATACTTTATCATTGGGTTACTTGATGCATTTTGGTTGTTTGAACCTATTATTGTGTGTAACTTGTCGCTTTGCTTTCCTTGGACGTTCTTGAGCATGTTTTTCTTGACATTTTCATGTTATCACTTTCACAACCACTTGAACGACCATGCATCACATCACTTCCACTTGCAACGCATAAGCACATGGCATGTCATGGCACCTTACGTCCCATACTTTCCACCATTAATTGGCATGACAAACGAAGTCCATTTGCTTTAAAATTTGAATTGGTGGTAGATCTCATTGAATATTCTCATATGCCAGGAGCTTGCCCAAGGGAACTTTGAGTTTTCTCAATGATGTCCGGCGCCAAACATGCGCACTCGGTTATGGATATGATTTTTTACATGTGTTTGTTTTGGCCTAATTTTCCAATTTTTCACCTCAGCAAATTAGGGGGGGGATGAGGGAGAATTTATTGTTCATGGTTTAAAACCATGACCGAGATCTACTATGCGGCCGCATAGTACTAAGCTATGCGGTCGCATAGTAGTAAGAATATTTCCCCTTTTGATTTTGGTAACCGTCTATGCGGTCGCATAGACCTTTTTTTTATGAACACTGAAATGCAAAAAAAAAAAAGTATTTCCTTCGTAATTTTTTTTTTAGAGAAGCGTGAACCATGCTCCCAAACACCCAACATCGTTTCAAACTCAACTACCATGTGTGTAATGCCTAAGAAATTATGGGGATGATAGTTCGATCCAATTAACATGCAAGAACAATCGATGACCCTAAAAAAATGCAAATACAGAAATGAAATAATTCTAAAAATAATGTGGAAAATAAGCTAATAAAAGGATACAGTGGCTTGCCTTCCACTCAGCGCTAGATTATAGTTGTTAGCTCGACTTTACCATGTTGTTTCATTCTGATGGTCGAAGATGAACGGTAGACTTTTCCTTTGAAAAATCACCGCCCCAATAGTGCTTCAGACGCTGTCCATTGATCTTGAATGTTCCCTTGCTATCGTGAGTGATTTCAACTGCCCCATGTGGAAAAACCTGTATAATAGTATACGGACCAGACCACCTCGATTGCAGTTTTCCTAGAAACAGCTTAAGCCTAGAGTTGTAGAGTAGCACTTTCTGCCCCCATCATAAATTCACGCCTCTAAATGTACATATCATGTCATTTCTTGGTGCACTCTTTGTAGATTCTTGAATTCTCGTAGGCTTCCATTCTGAGCTCATCCGGCTCATTAAGTTGTAGGAGACGTTTTTCACCCGCAGCCTTCAAATCCAAATTCAATTTCTTCATTGCCCAATAAGCGTGATGTTCTATCTCAAAGGGTAAGTGGCATGCTTTCCCAAAAACCAGTCAATATGGTATCATTCCTATAGGGATCTTGAATGCAGTCCTATAGACCCACAAGGCGTCGTCCAATTTCTTAGACCAATCCTTTCATGATGAATTTACTGCGACTTCGAGTATTCGCTTTAATTGTCTATTGGACACTTCGACCTGTCCGCTGGTTTGGGGATGATATGCAATTGCTACACGATGTTTAACGCCATATTTAGCCAACAATTGTTCGAACTGACGATTGCAAAAATGTTTGCCCCCGTCACTGATTATAACCCTCGGTGTTCCAAAGCGGGTAAAAATATGTTTCTTTAGAAACTCAATCACCACCTTCCCATCATTAATAGGTAGTGCAACAGCCTCTACCCACTTTGATACGTAGTCCACAACCACTAATATATATTGATTAGAGAAGGATGGGGGAAATGGCCCCATGAAGTCGATTCCCCAGATGTCGAATAGTTCCATCTCCAGGATACTATTCAAAGGCATTTCATTTCTCTTAGATATATTTCTGGTGTGTTGACATCGGTCACACCTTTTCACGAATTCAAAAGCATCTTTAAATAGTGTAGGCCAATAAAAACCTGATTGAAAGATTTTCGCTACTGTTTTTGAAGCACCAAAATGCCCTGCATATATAGATGAATGACAATGTTCTAATATCAAAGGCACTTCTTCCTCAGGTATGCAGCGACGAACAATTTGATCTGCACCCTGCCTGTATAGGATGGGATCCTCCCAAAAATAATATTTCAAATCAGAGAAAAATTTCCTCTTCTGGTGACTGGAGTAATCAGGCGGCATGATAGATCTGGCTAGGTAGTTAACGATGTCTACATACCAGGGTGCCTCTCCCAAACCAAAAATCTGTTCATCTGGGAAGACTTCGTTGATTTCCACAGTTTTTGTCTATTCTGTGGCCTCGAGTCGAGATAAGTGGTCTGCCACTACATTTTCACTGCCTTTCTTATCCCTGATTTCCAAGTCAAACTCTTGAAGCAACAGTATCCAACGAATGAGATGGGGCTTTGCATCCTTCTTTTCCATTAAGTACTTGATAGCAGCGTGATCTATGTAAACGATAACCTTTGATCCCATGAGATATGACCAAAATTTGTCAAAGGCGTAAACTACGGCAAGGAGCTCTCTTTCTGTAGTGGCATAATTGAGTTGAGCTTCGTTCAAGGTCTTACTTGCATAGTAGATCACGTGAAATATCTTATTTCTTCGTTGTCCTAAGACAGCCCCAACAGCATAATCATTGGCGTCGCACATTAATTCAAATGGCAGATTCCAATCTGGCGTAATGATCACGGGTGCAGAGATCAACTTCTCCTTCAAGGTGTTAAAAGCAAGCAGACACTCATCTGTGAACTCAAATGTGGATTCCTTCATCAACAGACAGCACAACGGTTTAGTAATCTTTGAGAAATCCTTGATGAACCTTCTATAGAAACCAGCATGCCCAAGGAAACTACGAACACCTTTTACGGATGCAGGTGACGGTAATTTCTCGATCACCTGAATCTTTGCTATGTCCACTTCAATACCCTTTGCTGAGATTCCGTATCCTAGCACGATGCCTTCCTGTACCATAAAGTGGCATTTCTCCCAATTCAGTACCAAGTTAGTCTCCGTACACCGCTGTAGCACAAGACTCAAATACTCCAAGCACTCATCAAATGAAGACCTGAACACTAAGAAATCATCCATGAAGACCTCGATGAATTTCTCAATCATATCTGAGAAGATAGCCATCATGCAGTGCTGAAAAGTTGCAGGAGCATTGCATAAACCAAACGGCATCCTACAGTATGCAAAGGTACCGTAGGGACAAGTGAAAGTTGTCTTCTTCTGATCGTCAGGTGCTACTGGAATCTGATTATACTCGGAATATCCATCCAGAAAACAATAATGTGAATGCCCAGCTAGTCTTTCCAGAATCAATGAACGGTAGTGGGAAGTGATCCTTTCGAGTAGCAGCGTTTAGTTTGCGGTAATCAATGCAAACTCTCCATCCAGTCACAGTCTGTGTAGGAATCAACTCATTTTTCTCATTTTCTATCACTGTGATACCCCCTTTCTTGGGAACAACTTGTACTGCATTGATCCAAGCACTATTTGATATTGGATAGATGATGTCTGCGTCGAGCAACTTCAATACCTCAGCCCTAATCACTTCCTTCATGTGTGGATTCAATCTCCGTTGACCATCAATGCTTGGTTTGAATTTTTCCTCCATGAGTATTTTGTGCATGGATAACGACGGACTGATCCCCTTGATATCTGCAATCGACCATCCAATGGCTGTTTTGTTTTCCCTTAGCACCAGAAAGTAATTTCTCTTCCTCCACTTCGCTGACAGTACTTGAAATAATAACCGAAAGTGTAGAAGATTTCCCCAGGTAAGCATATCTCAGGTGTGGTGGCAGTTGCTTGAGTTCCAATTTGGGAGGTTGTTGAATAGATGGCACTGACTGTGTAGTCCTGGTTCCCAGTTCTTCGAACTAGCGTCTGCACATGTATGGCGAATTAGTCTCCAAGAATCGTGCACATGTTTCAATCTCTCTCGAATCAGTGTGAGTGGATTGAGAATGTGCAATGCACGCCTCGTAAGCATCGAAATGATAATGTAGCCGAAATATATCTCGAATTATTCTGTCAATTACATCAATCTGGAAACAGCTTTCTGACTCAGTCGGGAATTTCATTGCCTTGAACACGTTCAACGAGATTTGCTTTTCGCCAAGCCTCAATATAAGCTGCCCTTTCTGAACATCAACAACCGCTCTTCCAGTAGCTAGGAAAGGTCGCCCCAATATAAGTGGAACATCCTTATCTTCCTCCATATCCAAGATAAGGAAATCAGCTGGAAATATGAACTTCTCCACTTTGACCAATACGTCTTCAATGATCCCTCTTGGATGTGTGAGGGATCTATCTGCTAACTGTAATGTAACCTTGTGGCTTTAGCTTCTCCCAAGCCGAGTTTCCTAAAAACAGAGAGAGGCGTTAAATTAATACTTGCTTCTAAATCACACAATGCTTTATCAAAATAATAATTTCCAATAGTGCAAGGTGCAGTAAAACTCCCTAGATCCTTTAGTTTTGGAGGCAACTTTCTCTGGATTTTGGTGCTGCACTCCTCAGTTAGCATTACTGTTTCGTGTTCTTCTATCTTTCACTTGTTGGAGAGGATATCCTTCAGGAATTTTGCATAACTTGGCATTTGAACAAGTGCTTCGACAAATGGAATGTTGATATGTAGTTTCTTGAAGACTTCAAGAAATTTACTATATTGCTGATCCAATTTGTGCTTTTTCAATCTCTGGGAAAATGGAATAGGAGGCTCATGAAGGTTGATATGAATGGCATCCCGTGATGTATTGGAATTCTCTTTGCCCACATTCCCTGTTGTTTGTTCAGTTTGTTCCACAATTTCGTCATCCGAGGTTGGTGCTGATTCCTTGCTAGCTACCGATCTTTTGACATGTATCTCCGGTAGTTGTACTCCACTTCTGGTTTTTATAGCCTTTGCGTGCTCCTTAGGGTTGATTTCAGTATTGTTGGGCAGATTTCCTGGTGCTCTACCCGTAATGGAGATTGCCATCTATCCCATTTGTGTTTCCAAATTTTTTATTGTTGCACTCTAGTCTTGAAGAGTTGCATCTGTCTTTCGCATAAACTGATTGTTGGCTTCCATATACTGGTTGGTTGTTACCATGAACTTTTCAAACATCTCATCCAATGGTGGCTTTTTATCCTGCTGCTGATATTGACCTTGTGGTGTATTTTGATTCTGATTGCTCCACGAGAAGTTTAGATATTTTCTCCAGCCCTGATTGAAGGTTTCCGAATGTGGGTTGTTTTGTTAGGTTGACCCCATTGCACAAAATCTGCATGTTCGACCCCTTGTGCGAAAATTGGACAATTAACAGTATTGTGGTTTGCTCCACATTCTTCACAACTCGGCTTCTTAACTTGTTTAGTAGTGGCAGTCTGTGAAATGCTTTCAACCTTATGGAACAAGGAGTCTATCTTTACAGATAGAGCAGAATAAGTATCTACTTCATAAACCCCCTGTCGATCTCTTCTGAACCACTCGATCTGTAGACCACATGGCTGAAGTTGTTGCCATTCTCTCAAATAGCTCCCATGCTCCATCAATTGTTCTCGTGGAGATAGACCCGTCAAATGAGGAATCCACCATGCTCTTGAAGGATGGAAGTAGTCTAGTGTAGAAAAATCAGATCTATGTCTTCTTGTCAAAACCATGTTGCAGGCACTTCCTTAACATATTCTTGAAACGATTCCATGCCTCTTCAAATGATTCGGACTCACCTTGGTTGAAAATAGAGATATCATGCTGCATTTTTGCTACCTTTGCTGGCGAGAAGAACTTGGTGTAAAATTTGTGGGCTAGCTCGTTCCAAGTGGTGATACTTGCAACGGGAAGCAAATCTAGCCATTTAAGTACCTTATCCCGCAAGGTGTGTGGAAACAACCACAGTCTTATAGCATCGTCCGACATACCCTGATACCTGAAGTGTTGGCACATGTCCAGAAATCGGCATATGTGTGTATGTGGGTTTTCAATAGCCATCCCGTGGTATTGATGCCCATTCTGAAACAGTTGAATTACATTTGTTTTCAGCTGGAAGTTCGGTTGCCCAAATGGAGGATACACAATGCTAGATTGACTTTGGACCACCAATGGAGCCATGAAGTCCCCAAGTACTGTATTCCCATCATCTTCAACTACCATGCCTTCGTTGAGTGGAATTGCCGGTTGATTTTGCTCGTTAGCCATTTGTTGTGCCGCCCTTGCTTCTCTTTGCCTATGACAGAATGTGCGTTCAATCTCTGGATCTATGAGAACCAAATCTTAATCAGATGCTCCTTGCATACAAGCCCTGAGATTGCAAAATCAATACAAAATTAAACTGAAGTAT